GTTACTGTAGCTGCAGAACAGCCTGGGTGCTATGAAGCTGATGCACAAAAATGATCACAGCAGGGTGCAGGTCCTGGGGTAAAGAGGCCTGTGTGGGGGCCCCCCTCCCAGTCCCATGGCACACTTATGTGGGGGAGTGAAAGCCCCGGCACACTGGATGCAGCAGGATGGGTGATAGCCAGAAATTCCAGCCAGACCAAGTAAAGAGCCATCCAACCTGCCAGGTAGGCAGGTGGGCTAAATGGCAGCCACGGCCCCTCCTCCTGGCTCTGCAGGGACCCCCAAAGCACAGGGCTTGGGGCAATTGTCCCAATTTGCATCCCTACAGAGATGGCCCTAGTGATGCAGTTCTGTTTTACAACAGTATAAGGATAAATACCTATTTCGTAAGGTAAACAAGGTTCTTTGGGTAAATCCAATTTTTTTATTAGATCAACTCAAATAGTTGGAAAAATTATTTTTAGCAAGCTTTGGGGCATAAACACCCTTCAATAAGCTGGGGAAGCATCTGGACTGTGCTATTCTTGGAGTGGTAAAACAGCCAGAGGCCAGTATGTATGCAAGAAAGCCAGTGAGTTAAAATGTAAATTGAACTGGTCAGTAGGTGAGAGAGCGGGGGCGGGGGGGAGGGGGAAGCGGGGAAATGATTTTGGAAGCCTACACAAGGGTTGATGTCCCTTCAGAAGCACCTCTGTTTACAAACAGCTCTGCTTTATGTATCATGCATTCCTTGCATGTTCCCTCTTTAGTAGATCTAGTATTTGTTTCTTTTCTAGGTTTTCTGTTTCTACTGCTTGTTTCTTACAAGAAACTTGATCTGCTCTTTGTGACACCAATCCTTGGATAGACAGATAATTTTCTTATTAGAGGATTCTGACTGCAGAAAAGGGAAAGGAGGAAGTAGGAGCATAGCCTTGTTCTGTTAGCTTTTTAAAAATATAATAATACTTTTACTAGACTTCCCTTTCTTTAGAGTAACTTTTGATATAAAATCTAAAATATTAACAAAAACATCAAAAACAGGGAAATTCTACTGGGTTTAAGAATAATCATCAGAGAAAACTGACTAGTAAGTTTCAGTGCCGCATTTTCCGGGGGCTGATGATCAGCACTTTGAAGATTCAGTTCTTTTAAAGTGTTTCATGTTAGGCCTCAGAATTGATGCATCAAAAATCTCTAGTATCTTAAAAAAAGTTAGTACCTTATTTATGAAAACATCCAGGGAGAGGCTTTTAAAATAAAATTAGAAGGTCAAATTCCAAGAGATCCTCTCATGGGTGTAGCACAGGGAGAAAGCATGAGGTCTCCACATGTGCAACTACACCGGAGCCTACATCATAGCAGGACTATTCACTCCTGACCCTCCCTAGGGAGCAGGTGATTGGAAAGGGTGGGGATGGGAGAGGAAGAGGCCCTTTTCCTCTCTGTGCCAGCCTGCAGAGCTTGTCTGATGAACCATGCAAAACAACCTGCTACATCCTAATAGATGGTTTAAATAATAAATACACTATAACTCTCCACAGTTCTATAAATAAAACAAACCTTTCAAAATGACAGGTAGACACATACCTAACCTGTTTAGAAGTCACTGTACTACTAAATATGCCAAATATTGCAGAGTTTGGTGCTAATAATAATCACACTCAAATGCATTATATTATGTTTGTATACTCAGGAAAGTGAACCCAAGAGAAATAGTTACAAGAAGCTGGATTTAGTAAATACTACTTATTATTGCTAAGTAAGATAATATTTACTCTGTTTGCTAACAGGATGTAATGAGGATTAAGCATCAACTTCTAGTAGAGTGTTTTGAATACTGCAAAATACTATACTGATCATATTTCACATTTATAACAATGGAACCGGTCTTTTCTCTCCCCAAGTAACTTTGCAATGTAATTTTCAATGAAAGGTGGATATGCATTTTCCATCCTTGATACAATGATTTTGCAGTTTATGGCCCAAACATATATGAGTTTAATTTCATTCCCTGGAGCAAAGTACTAAATGCATAACATCGCCAAAGGCCAGTGAGAAATAATGGGCCTTTGATATAATTTGGCAAAGATAATGATTTGTAGTCCTAACTATTTACTTGTGTAAAAATATGCTAACTATATTTCTATCTGTTGTATACTTTTTATAACTTTATATATAAATGTAGGATTATTTTAAACCTAAATGAATATTACTATTACAGGGATAAGTCAGTCAATTCTAATAGCATGTAGCTTTATCATAAAACTGCTCAAGGGTTGGGAGGGAATTGTTAAGACTAATAAGTTTAACGACATTGTTAGTTGTGAACTCTGTTAGGCAATGCTATTGGGAAAGGCTGTTGCTCAAGGCTGAGGAACCCAGGGACTAGTGAGAAAGAAATGTGGTTTGACCTGTGTGAAAAAGTATATATGAAAAACAATGGTGACACTGGCTTGCAAACTTCTGTTGTATATTAAATGTCTTTCATCTGGAGATTAGTCTATGATAATGTAGGCAATTAATGTAAAGGGTTATCAAAAAGTTATCTAAAGACTTTAAGGCTACGTATGATAATCAAAAGCTGGAGGCTGAATTGATTCAATTTTCACAGGTTAGTCTAAACTGCATAGACTGGACTGAGAAGCAAGTGAACAGACATCAACTTTTGATTCCAGAAATGCAGCCACATGCTTGCAGTGGCTGAGGCCAGAAGCTGGGGGAGGGGGGGAGGGCAGGGGTGGGGCACACCACCCTGATCAGCTGGAGTAGAAAGCTTGGGCAAAGGCTAGCACACCCACCCAGTGAGAAGGGATTTGTGGGAGGAAGTGCAAAGCATCCTGGGAAGCTGGGGGACTGTAAGTTAACTTGCATCTGCAGGGGATCTAGGATTAGTTCAATAAATCTATTTAACCTAAATCAGTTAAGTTTCATACTACATCCATTAAGGTTTATTTTAAACTGGTTTTGGCCATTTTGAAAATGATCGATGTTATGGATTGAACTTCTGTTGTGTTATAGAGCTGACCTAGTTTCGGTCATTCGTATCAGATTGTGTGTAAATTCTGGCCCTACCCTAAATATATAGTAGGAAGAGAAAAAGAGATAGCAGTTTACAGTCCTTTGTTCACAAAGAGAATGAGGTGCTAAACAAATATATAACCTCAGATTGCAAGGGCTTGTCAGAACCACTAGGCACAGCAGACTTCTGCCTCTGTACACCAAGCTTGGGTCTCATAGAATGATTGAATGTCACTTTGAACAGCTCCATATTATGCTCCCTTAGCTTATTTTCCATATGAAATACAGACATGCATCCCAGCTGTACTAGGTTCTCTTCTCCACAGACAAGAACTGCAGGTGCTACTTTATCCATTTAAAGATGTTTCCTTCCCTCCTATCCCACAACTACCAAAACACTTCACATTGACAGAACTAGATAACATGAATGGAGACAATAGGTTGAATGAGCCACCATTGCTAAAAAGGTTGCATTGACCAAGAGTTACATTACTAGGTTTTTGAAACGAGACTGGTACATGCCACTGCATGACAGCTATTGATAATTACTGTCTTGATGATCACTGTGGAATGCTTTTTATCTAAGACATTTTAGAGACATAAATGCCTTACTATTTTGTCTGTTATTCTAATGTATTAATATTGGGTTACAGCTCAGTCAAAACTTTTTCCTTGTTCTGTGGTCAGACCACCAGTCATGTGCACATTCTCTATCACAGCTAAATTAGTAGTATTGTCCTATGTGTAGGGAAAAAAAAAGAACCTCTTGGAATTTAGTGCTTTAATTTCATAGAATGCCCCTTGCAACTAATATTAAATAGGACTGCCCTGGTGGTATTTTTTAGATACTATGCTACATCTCTATCTACTCTTTTGCTCTACATACTGAAGGATCCTAATCTTATTTTATAAAAAAAACACAGTATAAATTGAAATAAGAATCTGTTTCTTTTTTTGCACAGTGCTGTATTTTGCATCTGAAGAAAATATTCCTTTAGCATCACGATCCTGGGTAGGGAAGAAGAAAAGAAATTCTGTCTTTCCTGCCAGTGAAAACCAAAGCAAATCAGGTAACATGAATTGCCTTTATTTCCAGACCATTAACTGCAAAAATAAGCCATAAAGAAAGTTTGCAACCAACATTTTGGCAAGGTTTTTACTATACAGAAAGCCTTTTCTGCAGTGTAGGTGGTATCAAATACAACATGTATGAAAATATGGTCAAGAAAAGAATAACACCTGGAAGGAACTAATGTTGCAGTCCTGTTCAGTCAAAACTTTTGAATGTTAGTAGTTTAGCTGTGATGGCTGTTTCCTCTAATTATGGACAAGTGAAGTCACTGCAGGGAAACCTCTATTATGCTTGGGTGGGGAAAACACCACAAATGGAGAAGGTTGTTAAATGTGCTTTTCTCTTTGTTGAACAATAAAAGGTTGAAGAACCAGAATACATCTTGACTTAAAATTACTTTTCATGACATTGAAGATACAATCTGGTCTCAAGTCTAGTCAGTTTGGAGCAAGTGGGATTTTCTGCTGCTATCGAGTTCCAGATGCAAGTGGACAAATTCTCAGCTGCTGGTATAGGAGACAAGGCATAATGGGAAGAAAGAGGGCATCACCAAGATGATCTACTGCCAGTTTCAAATTCAGCCTGTATCTAAGGTCTCCTATACATGTGTGTGGAGCGTGCTCCAATGTGCTGGAAATCCAGCATGTCAAAGGAGACTCAATTAAATGAGTCTGCTGGAGCATGGAAATTGATACACTCCAACAGCCTTTTACCTCACATGTATCATGTGCTGGACTTGATGATCTTCTGAGGTCCCTTCCAGCCCTAATGTCTATGAAATCTATGAAATCAGTGTCACTGTGCATCTCTGCAGTAAAAAAATGGCAGTGGGGTGCTTAGAAATACAACATGTTCAATGAGCTTTAGTTCAAAGCAGCCCGCCACCATTTTTTCAGCACAGCAATGCATGGCAATGCATATGATGCGCGGTCACTTTTAATTAGTGTGGCTCGCTAAAGTAAAGCACTGTGTCCTGCAGCACATGTAAAAATCCCCTAAAATTGGTGGTATTGGGGTAGCAGGCAGCTAAGGTTAGGGAACTATTACAGTTAGTGATGTTATTTTTTGCTATCAGTTCATCCTTTTGGGAGTATAACAAAATCCACCAAAATCATAACCTGTGCCTTGTGACAGGGCTCTGAGCAAATTTTAGTCAAAAATGCCAGTCACACAAAAGGTTCTGGTCCTATGTCAACAATGATCTCTTAATCTGTGCGTAAAGCTGCATTCCTAAATTTAGAGCTATACTTGCTGTGACTGGCCAAACTAGGTGGGTCTCTACCAACTGGAATTTTTGGGGCAGAACATGAATATACTTGCAAGACATCAATAATAAGAAATCAGTAACCCTAGAATCATAATCTTGTTTAAATACATACATCCCTGAACTACTTTGGAAGTTAACCTGAGACGTAATGTTTCCATAATCTCAAGTTGCAGAAATTGATCCCTAACAGGGATCAGGTTAACTGCAGGAAGTTGGGGGCATTTTGTGTGTCTTAAAAAGCATAGGTTGCCATGACTTTCAGTGAGAGTGACAGGGAAATTTCCTTTGGCCTCAAGTATTTTGCAACCTTTGCTTCCTATAGCTGAAATAGTGTACCATTTTGATAAAAGAGTGAAGTTGATATTTGCATCATTTCTTCTCCTAGTTACTTTCAAATGCAGGAAAACAAAAATGCCATATTACTTTGCATCTGTGATATACTGTATGCCAGCAAAGTCATCATTTTAGTGTAAGATTCTAAATATGGCTCTTCTCTTTGCCCTTAATGCACCTGAGAAATCCTTTAATGTGGGTGAACCTTAAAAAGTCATTTGCACAGGTGTCTTTAAGATCAGATTGCTGCAAAGACTCAAACTCTGAACTCAAAGGCCATGTCCAGACAGGTGCAGACGTTTGGTTCTCCAGGGACAAGACGCACCAGCACTCCTTGTGATGCTGCTCCTTGTCCCTGGGGAACACCCATGCCACACTCCTTCTGGCACACGGCAGGTTACCCTGAGTGGCGTAGGGGAGGTTGGGCCAGCAACTGTGCTGACCCCAGCAGCCTTACCTGAGATCCTGGGGGCTGGGGAAGCAGTAGCCACAGCACTCCTGCAGCTGGGAGCCTGGCCAGCACCCAGAGAATAGCTCTGGTAGGCCAGGCTCCAGTTTTGGGTGACACATGCTGCAGCCATGTATGTCACCCCGCTTTTTTCCTGTGTGGGTTTATTTGACACCAGGGTCTCCCAGGATCACAATCCTTCCCCTCCCCCCACCCCGTGATGCAAGGTAGCAGTGCAGGAAACGCCTGGATGTGCAACACAGACATGCTTAGCTGGACGTGGCCAAAGTGTTCAGGTTCAAGTATTTGATAAAGAATCAGTTTGGCTTTTCTTTTATTCCAAACTTTCAAGGCAACACTTGTCTTGCTTGCTTGCTTAACATTACCAAAAACAGTTAGTTAAAAGGAATATTTCCAAAGAGTCTGTTCCTTTATTTATTTAAGTAAAGGAACCACTAAAAATAATTTAAAAGTAATGGACCATAATTTTAGTTTCTGAAGGTCTTCATAATGAGAATATTCAACAACAATTCAACAAGCATTTTCAACTCAGAGAAATAAATAGATTTTCACCATGAATTTTTCACAAAACTTTTTATGATAGGTGAAATAATTCACTTAAATATTTTACTTGAAACCAATGGAAAAAATCACCATAATTATTATTTGTATCCCTTTCAAATTAGCTGAATGCAGTAAAATTATTTTGGAGTCTCTCATACAAAAATAAGCAAAATGGAAATTAGTGCAAAACCATTTTTAATAGAAATCTTTCCTTACTGGAAGAGAGACAAAAGCTGCATAGAGGTGTAAAAATAATTTTGAAAAACCCAGCATTTCACTTTAAGCTCAGCATGTCCTGAGCCCAGTGCATGCCCAAAAGAGGCATCACATTAGTTGAACCCACCTCACCCAAAGTCTGTATAGATCAGATGTTTCAGTGGGGCTTTTTGGTGCTTTTATCTAATAGCTGATTCAATCAGCTGATTCAATCAGCTGTTAGATAAAAGCACCAAAAAAGTCATGCTGAAGCATGTGATCTATATAGATGCTGCAGAGCTGTGTTGAACTTAACATGCTGCCTCTTCCGGTAAAGGGCTGTTTTGTTTAGTTTTTTTCCACGTCTCTCAGCAGCCAAAGATATTTTTTCTGTATTCTTCCAAGCTATATCATATCTGCAAGCAGTAGCCTACAGTCTAAATAAATAACTCTACTATCCTGTACCAGGACAGAGATAGAACTAACTCCAAGTCTCACTAAAGTTAATGGACCTTTTATCATTTGCTCTAGTGGGAGGAAAACTAGGCCACTGCTGTTGATTTCATTAGGCACATCCAGACAAGTGCACACATGCAGTTTGCAGTGCCTCAGAGCTGTATGAGGCACCACAAACATATGCATCTCAGGTGCACCCATTATCAGCACTGTTAATTTGCATGCAGTACAGTCACAAAATTTGACACCAGGAGATCCCAGGGTCAAAAAACAATGCCACTAAAAAGTGGCACAGTGTACATGGCAGCAGTGTGCACAGCCAGAAACAGAGCCTGGCCATCCAGAGCCATGCTTTGGCTGCCTGCCAGTCTCCATGTGCCTGCATCAGCACTGCTTCTGCCCTAGGAGGCCTCCAGGACCCCAGGTAAGACTGCTGGGGCAAGTGTAGGTGTTGACCTCAACCTCCCCTGCCCTCCCTTGGGCAATTTGCTGCACACCAAAGTGCATGTGCATGGGCATGCCCATGGGCACAAAGCAGCAGCACAAATGTGGTGGGACAGGTAAACACTGAATGTATGCACTCATCTGGACATGCCCACTGCGTGCAAGATAAACAGAGTGCATATTTTTGTCATACACTTCTCATAAAAGGACATGCTTATGATGTGTGAGGGAAAACATTGAATTGTGCTAATCTGAATAACACTAATCCTCCTTTATTATTCATCATTTGCAACTGCAATGCTTTTGCATTTAAGGAAAACAACTAAAAATAACATGTATGTTTGATTCTTGTAGAGATGTGGGCATCACTAAAATCCATATTCATGGTTCATTGGCATAAGAAAAGTTTTATAGCTTGTCTTGTGGCTGATGGCTATTCAGAGTTCTTATGAGTTCTTTTGCTGAACATTTCAATGTTTACACAGTCTTGAGTAACTGTATTTTATTATTTTTTGAGTGATGAAAAATAGATAATCCATTAACCTTTGTAACCAATACTCTCCAATGTTTTGACATCTGACTGTGTAAAAAATGCCATTCTTTACCTATCAAAAAAAGGAGTACTCTAGCTAGAATGGCCTGTAAGGAAGTTCTTTTTTTTTCTTCTACTGGAATTTTCCACTAAGTACATTGGGATTGTCCATTTAAAAAAAAAAGGCAAACATAAACAATATCATGCATGTGTAATTAAATGGGTGCCTAACCACATGGCTTCATTCTGCAAGATTCCCTTTATAGGATGCCACATTTAACCAATGTTACATCTCATCCATTTTATTCTCATTTACTCCCAGGTTGGGGCCAGAGATGGAGAGAAGGAAACTGGGAAGGCAGTGCATATGTTTTCTGTTGCTTTGCATTTTTAATTATGGGTTAATTGTGCTATTTATTCTATTAGGGTATGTGCAGATGTTACACTTACATCAATTTAACTAGGCTTAGGTTGATCTAAGCACCAATCTGTACAGATCTTCGGGCAGCAAAAAATGGCTGCCTCGAGGAGGTGAACTAAGTTAGATCAGGAACAGGTTAGCCTGATCTAACAAACATCTGTACATGCTTGAAAAGCATCCCCAGGGTTGGGAAAGCCCAGTCCTTAACCTCAGTCTTTGGGTTGTACTCTTTCTAATCCCCACAACCTGAATTTCTACCTGCATTCATTGTGGTATTTGAGTTGGTTATTACTTAAATGAGCACTACAGTGAACACAATTAGAAAGTTCTCATCTCTTGATGATTAAGACTACCTATTTTACTAGCATTCATATTATAGCTAGTGTGGAGGAAGTCATTATCACCTTGCCTACAGGTACTTTTAACTGCATCTGCTGTAGTTCAAATTTGTCAGAATATATTTTCTGTTTTGCTGTGTGTGAACTGATTTGCCATTTTTATCTATATCTTTTAGAATATTTAATCATAGCAGCAACGAGGTGCTTTAGGGGAGGTATAAGAAGTGAAATTCTGAACTTTGCCTTCACTGAAATGGGAAGAGATAAAAAGTACCATGAAAATGAAGGTTTCTCTTCAAGAAAGAATAGTCCTTTCTGTGATATTTGCCTGGTAAAACAGCATCTGCTTCTGGACTCACTTCAAAGTTGCTACCTTTCTCAATACATGAACAATATTCTGAACACAGGAGATATTGAAGAGCTATGGACCCAACAGAGATCTTACTGGCAGTACAGGTCCTGTGTCCTAGCATGCATCGGAAGGAGATGCTGTCCCTTAAGGGCTGCTTTACTGTATCAGAAAGAATAGAAATCATGGGAAGGGAAAGCAGTTTAATGGGAAGAATGTGCTTTGTGATAATGCTACAAGACAAACCTTAGAAATTTTGCTGTCTAACCCCAGGAAAAAGGATCCTAGAAGCTGATTGTAATTGACAAGAAGCCCCACACAAGTAGTAGAGTGATAGGGAAGCCTTGTGGATACCTGTCTCTGCTGCTATACCTAAAGCCTTTATTCAGTTTGTATTTAAAGGCTAGGGAAAGACATTAAAAAAGCCTGAGCCTGAACTGATTCAACCTTTGCAGGTTATTCTAACCGGGCTAGGCTGAACCAGGTTCCAACCATACAGACAGTCCCTCTGAACTGAGGAAGTTCAAGCACATGCCTGCAGTAGCTGAGGCTGGAAGCCCGGAGCAATGCCAGAGCTGAGGGGGGCATGGCCAGGCCCCAGCAGGGCTCTGAGTAGGGAGGAGTGTAAACCCCAGCCTGCCTGCAGTCCCAGGCTTTTCCCTGCTTGCTGCTGAAGGGGCGGGTTGTTGCCAGGCCCCAGCTAGCACTGAGGCAAAGTGGGTGTGGGTGTGTGGAGTGCATTAATTTGTTGATGACACAAAGATTTTCAATCTCCCTTCCTGCTTCTGTATAGTGTCTGCAGCAAACCTGACAGGCAAGCAAGCTTCAGGCGGGGGGGTTGATAATAGTGTCACCCCTATCTCAGTGTTTATTGCCCCATTAAGAAAGCAAAGGGACATTACCAGCTACCTGTTGATTCTGCCTGTTGATTGAGCATGGACACAGCATGTGGTCAGCTAGCTAATACACAGATACCTTCTCTGCAAGGCAGAGGGGAGTGGGGAAGCAAACAGCTCTTAAACAGCTTTTCTAAGGAAGGACATTAAGCTACCTGTTGAATAGCTCCAAAAAACCTATCTGCCTCTGTCATCTCCCACAGCACAGACTGTAGCCAGTATGTGACCTGTAGCTAATGTTGAGGTGTCTGTGAGGGAGAGGGGAATGTCTGCTTAGCACAAAGTGTGGAGGGAAGATAGGAAGCAGAAGTCAGGAAGATGCCTGCAGAGACTGCTGAGCTCCAGCGTGGGACAGACATTGCATAAACCAGTTTGAGCCAACTCAGTTAAGTCTGATATTACATTCAACTAGGTTTATCTCAAACCAATTTCAGCCATTTTCAAACTGTTTTATGTGCACTGAACATCTGTTCTATTATAGGTTAAACCAGTTTTTGATCACTTTAACTGGTTTATGTGCAATGTCTGTCCCTGGCCAAGAAAACCACTGTATATTAACAGGAGTTAGCCTGAGTAGAGAAATATAAGGCTTAAAGATAGGTGTTCTTAGCTGATATACACTGGGTGCATCTATACAAAATGCTAAATGTGCAATAGACTAATTGTACTGTGCATTACCATGTCACAGCAAGATCTCTGTTAATGCACTAATGCTCAGGTACTCTGCTAATGTGTTATTATAGATACTAAACTGAGTGTGCAGTAATTACGGTGCATTAATGGATGTATAGACATGCCCACTGATATGTACATCATCAGTTGTGTACACACTGATCTTTGGAGTCATTCAGGATCACTGTAAGTACAGACTGAACCATCTACAAACTGCATCAGGGACATTTTGTGCTGTAATTAGGTCCTTGCCATGTGATCATCTTTACAGTTAAGATGGAACAGAAAAAGTGCATAGTTGAGTCATTCAATTTACACCGCATGTGGCTTGCTTAATCTTAATATTCTGTTTTCAGGATTATATTGAAATGCGTTGCATTATTCTAGACTGACACATGAAAACATCATAACAGTATCATATGATATGTTCAATAATTCCTTTTCTTGACGTTGTAAACAGCTCACATTAGTTTCAGTAATTTACCTCACATCAATTCTGGTCTGTCTTGTGATGTTATTGTTTTTGCCAATATAGCTCATGCAAGATGGTCAATCAAATTAGTTAGATTTAAAGAGCAAAATCATCACTGTTGTAAATTAACCAGATTGCTTGGACACAACCGTGTATTTCAGTTACTGGAGATGCATGTAGTTTTTGTATTTTAAATACCAGAACAAAGTAGGCCGGAAATTTCTTGAATGTTTTGAACTTGCATAAAAGAAAAAAAAAAGCCTCTTGTTTTTCTTATGTTTCTTTTTTAATATTATCACTTTGTGTACTTTTGCTCTATTGACCATGATGAGCTAGTCAAACAATGTCTTTATCCAGCTGGACTGTAAACCTAGTAGTGGAAAATATTACACACCACAACATGTGAGTTTATATGACTAGGTCTTTTAGGCCATTTGAAGACCATTTTCTTGGGACATAAAGGACAGTGGTCAGTTCAAAGTTATCAGGGTGGAAGGTGTATCTGAAATATTTTCCTCCCAAATCAGTTGGCACCTTTCCACACATTTACTTTACATTATGGATTGTCCAACAAATGTTCATTGCGGTATTTTGATGATCCATTGAAGGAAGCTACTCTTGCTTGTAAAGGAGCTTTTCAATATTTGGGTTCATCCAGAAGCAGGACTTCTCTCCTCTCAGTACAAATACACCATAAAGTTTTTGACTGTCTACAAAACCTGACCAGTTTTGACCAGTTTCATATTTCTATACATATAAAGTTTTTTGTGGCATTCAAACTTCCTTTCCAATCTCTTCTTTTCTTTTTTTTTTTCTGATGTCTCCCAACTTGTCATTTTATCTTATTTCAGAGGCATGGGTGAAAAGAGGTAACCCTTCAAACTCTCATGTGACTGAAGATTCATTAAAGAATGAAGCTGAACCTAAATCACAGGGAACCATTACCTCCTCAGTTCCTCTACCAGGAAGTGTTACTAACTACTTGGATGAAATACAAGGGCATCCTTCATATGAGATGAAAAGTATTATGATTGATGAGGAATCTACACAGGGTAAGCCCCACTACAATAGGTTAAAAAATGCAGGCAGATAGCTGTTGATTTTTATATGCACATTCAAGAACATAGAATGATAGCTCCATAGTTCCATTTCAGTAGTAGCTGGTGTGTCCCATAAATTTTATGATCTTTAACTGTTATGAATTTATGGAGATTTCCATACAGATTTAAGTGGGACCTTCTATTTCAGATTTAGAGGATGGACTGATTCTTATACACCGTTGTGTGCATCATGAATAATCCTATTGAAATTCATAAGATTACAACATAAATTCAGTGTGGAAGGAAAAAGGAGGATGTAATGGAACAGCTCCTTATTATCACAGGGGAGAACTCAGATTTGGATAAAATACATATTAGACCATGAAATGTGGTGGTTATTTTCACATGTGTTCTCTATGAGGTACTCTCACTGCTGGGACAGAAAACTCAAAAAGGGCATGTCTACACATCACCCTACATTGCTGTAGTGGTATGCTACATCACTGTAGTGTGTCGCTATGATGATGTATGGTGACATGGGTTTACACATGACCAGCAACTACTTCACCATACTGGAGTGCTCCATTTTACACACTGCTACAATGAAGTAGAGGTCAAAACTGTGCGTTGTGCACACAGCGCAGTATAGGCTGTTACTGCATCATGCTTTAGTACTTCCAAAAGGAAGTACTATAGCATGGCACAATAACAATTTCACCATAGGGTGACGTGTAGATGTGCCCAATGAAAAAGATTCACTGGTTATGGTATTAGCTAAAGGTTTGAGAAATCTAGGTTCAAATCACTGGCCTGAATACACTGTTTGCAGTGTGGGCAAACCAGTGTAGACAAGCAGTTGTGAAGTTCCTTCAAGTTTATCACCAGAATTTGGCAATTGCAAAGTCAAACATTTTGGCAATAAGTGAATAAAAGGCCAAATGCTCCAATACCCAGCTAAGTAGGTTGTTAAATGCTATTACTTTTTCTTAACCTAGTCAGAGGGGACCAGCAGGCATTGGGGGAGTCCCTGTTCCCCTGAGCACTACCAGGAGTGACTAGAAATAACGGTCACAAGCTGGCAGAGGGTAGATTCAGACTAGACATCAGGAGGTGCTACTTCATTGTCAGGGTGGCTAGGATCTGTAACCAACTTCCTAGAGAAGTGGTGCTGGCTTCTACCCTGGAGGTCTTTAAGACAAGGCTAGACAATCACCTTGCTGTACTTTTTCCTGCCAAGGCAGGGGGTCGGACTTGATGATCTGCTCAGGTCCCTTCCGACCCTACAAACTATGAATCTATGAAACTATAACCTAAATAAAACAAATGTAATTGATAATAGTCAGCTCCTCAGGTGTGTAAGGGTTAAATATTCCAAACAGTAGAAATCAATCAGCACAGCCCTAGGCATCCTGATATTTTAGCCATAGGCATCCGGATGTTTTAGCCAGCAAAGCCAGATGCCTACTTTCCTATCTTGCCTGACTGGTTGTGGCTTCAGGCTTAAAGACAGGCCGAACAGCTGCTCTCGGGCTGTGCAACATACCTTATTCCTGAAGCAACGTCCAGATGGTATATATCTGCAGCCCACTTTTGCCCACTTGTGGACTTAAATAAGAGTTCTGCTGCCCTCCCTGACAAATTAAAGGGTATATAGGAAGAGCCACCCTAATGCAGCCCAGTTGGCCAATCAACCTAAGTAAGGCTGACTAGTATGGCTGACTTGCAGTCTCATTCAGAATACTCAAAAATACAGAGTCCCTATACCTACTTTATAATGTGGACAGAGAAACTTTGATTTTATGGTTTCAGAAGGCTTTGACTTTTCAAAGTTTGCTAAATGGCTAATATTCTCCCTAGTTTGTTTTGCTTGGGACAAAGTATCTCTCTCTTTTTTTTTTCCTTTTGGCTTTAGACATACTTTGATAAAATGGGATAGTGGTTACAAGCATTTCAATACAAGTCTTGGTATTCTTGTAGGGGAGTTAATAGTTATTTCTCCATTATACAAAGATGAGTTTTTAAAAAATCTCTTTCACCTGCTTCTTCAGGTCACCCTTGTGTTAGCTCTCCAAGAGGACATCTTCATCCAGTAGTTCACTTATTTTAGTCATCAGTCTTTTGGTTGCATTGTCAAACTCAAGGATGCTAAGTATTTCCTGAAAATTAAATAAGAATAATTGTGTAAATAAATACCTTAAAATTTCCTTGCAAGGAATTCTAGAATATTTTTTAGCTTACCTTTCATGTAAGTGATGAAAGCAGGTGGTTCATTGCATAGCTTCTTCATTACTGCCCCCAAAAAGAGATTACTGGTACTTACAAATCTCTTGGCCTTGTTACATGTTGTATTTTTGAGCTGCTCAAATGTTGATGTTTGTTAGGGCTAGCTTCAGTTTGGAGCAGTCACACCTTAAGGCTAAAAACCTTCTTTGACTGCCCACCACCTGCACAGCTCCGACTTGCCACTAGAGAGCTGGAAAACCAAGGAACTGACTAGGAGCTACAGTTGTGAGTTGCCACTACAGGGCTGGTGAGCCAGGATAGACTCCTATCCCTGCTGTAGGTGAGGTGTGAGAGAGATGAGGTAAGAACATGAAGCTGGGAAGCAAAGAGTTAGTGGGATGGAGATGGGTAATGATATGGGAGATGGAAAGGAAATGGGGATGGAGGAAGGGTGGTGAAATGAAGGAAGTCAGCCACTGAAAGATAAAAAGAAGTAAAAAAAAAAAGAAATAAAGAGGAATTAAATTAAAGAGAATCTCATGTTTTAATATATTGAGATTTTAGGATTGAGGTATGGGGGGTTCTGGTTGCACTTCCTTGGGTGGCTGGGAGCTGGGAACTGGTAAGGAGCTAGTGTCCCTGACTCAGGAAGGAAGCCCCAGCTCATGGGTACCCAATCTGGCCCCTACTTTCTCCCCTCGATCCCATTCCTAGATCTGTCTGTGCCCTGCAACCTGGTTAGTGGGCAAAAGTCTGCCTGTTTACATAGGGTTGCACCCCTAGGATTGAGAGGGGGAGTTGCCTTGGTGCCAGAATCCTGTGGGATTGTAGCTGGGCCTGACCCTGTGGCACAAAGCTCAGGGCTCCCCTTTGTAAATAGGGGGAACCCCAGGTTTACCTGCTTGTACACCTTCCTGGAGTCTTGAACTCATTCCTGTGTGGTCTTGTTGTTGGGAGTGTCAATCAGCTGACTTGTGGTGCCAGCCCTGGTCTGTATAAGCATGTCCAAGCACACCAGAAAAATCCTGAATGGGAGAACCCAGGCAAGCATTACTGGGAAATGAGAATTACTGGGGCCTATGGGATTGAGTCCCTGTGGCTGGAAAGTGGGTAGCTCTGAGCTGCCTGTGCTCTCCTGCCTTAAAGCAAACAGACGTCTATCACACTTGTGTCATATTATATCACCTATGTAGCAGCCACAGATTTTGGTCATTTGTGGTATGAAAAAGGGCATGGACACCTGTTTGCTTGGCCTTTGTAACACCATATGAATTTTTATGGCAGCACAAAGGCAACATCTGGTTCCACTCTGATAAATTCCAGAAGCAATCCATTCACAGGAAGAAATACAGCTGCCGTATCCTTGGCCAGCAGACTTTAGATTCAGAACAGCTACTCCTTCAAGTACTTGTTTGGTGCTGCCATTTGAATTGAAAGACATTATAATCGCTTTTTGTGCCATGCATTTGTGGAACTTTATTTTTTCCAGTAAAACTGTCAACGTATCATTTTGCCTAGAAATAACTGGGTACATCTTGATTCAGCTGTTCTAAGCTCTTTTTTCCTCCGTCTCCTCCACAATATAGCCTCACATTACACCCAGTTCCTTCTAGGATTCCTCACTTAACTTTGTGCCCTTTCCTATTTTTTGTCTGCCCTGTTACCCCCAGTATCTTGAATTCACCAGCTTCTAGCCTATTGACCCCAACCTCTGGAGCCCAGCTGCTGGCTTGGTTCATGGGCAGACCTCCTGGTTTCTGATGTGAGATTCAGATGACAGCTTTATCCATTCTAACAGACTCTCTGTACCCATGTCTTTCTACTGTATATATGAGCATAGCAAGTTAATGAAGCTATGGGAATGAATACCAGCTGAAGATCTGGATCCTGATGTTTTAGAATTGTTAGATGTTTAGTATTCATTTCACGTAATGGTGATGGAGATGGAACTAAGTGGTGAATTTAGATCTAGATCCAAAATGTCTCAAGGACTGCTCAGTGTCTGAGGGTTGGTTTGACCCATTATATGCTTAACAGCCAGCTGGCTTCATATAGATATGGATCCAAATTTAGCTTCACAACCAAATATTTGGCAAGAGTGTTCAGATCCAGAATTTTGTTTTGGATTTAGCTGAAGAAAAAGCAAAAGCCCTCTGAATCATACAGAATGCTGGCTGATAAAAAACAATGAACAACAAGATATTTTCCTCCTTTCAGTTTAAATGTGTTAGATGAAATTATGAAATCAACTGAAGTTTTGCCAGTGACTTCAGTGAAGCAAGGTTTTCACCCAAGATCTTTATCAGCTTCATGAACATAAAGAAAAGAAGAGATTGCAATGGGAAAAAGTACTAAAATGGCTAAAGTTTCTAGTTTCAGAAAGACTTGCTAGAAATTGTTGATATAGAAACTGCTAACTGTGTGGCCAGTGATAGCCAGAAATTCCAGTGTTCGAGATGGTTTCAGTAAAGCTCATTACTCAGATTTATATTGAAAAATATGATTATAAGATGAGTATTATGCTCTTGTCCCATGTGCAGAATTCCCATTGATCTCTCACCCCTTTACTACTGTCCTTACTCTTTCAAAAATCTGAACTGTAGGGACCTTTTTTTTAAGAAAAAATGTAATACTATACTGCCATACAAATAGAGAACTATGATTTTTTTAAATTAATGTTAGTGCTTGCATTTTGCTAACAGTGAGCCACAGCGAATCTTGGCTGGACAAGCTTGGAATCAATAAGAACAAGTTGGCATTTCTAAAATGTCTGATTTGGTGGAAAGAAAGTACCACAACCATAGAAAAAGGTATTTTAACACAAGTAGAGGTAAATACTCTATCTGTCTTGCAGAGCAATCATCATACTACATGCCCACTGAGGGGCATAATTATTTTTCTCTCGCAAATTCTCTCTTTATTCCTTTCAAACAGATTAATTAAACTATCTTTCTGGAAGTTCTATGAATTTTAACCTGCCCAGTTCCTCTAAAACTGGATGCTGAAGGTGAATTCCCTGTGCTGTGCAGGTCGGACTAGATGATCAAATTGGTTCCTTCTAGACTTAAAAATATTTTCTCTATTAACTGCAATATAAGGGATAAAACACACATTGGTGAAAAAATGGTCATGCTATTAAAACCATCTACCAAAGAGATGCGTTGTGCAGAAAAATAATAATTATATATTTCTAATGAAAGAGAGAAGAGGAAAAAACAGGAAAGTTAAACTTGAAGCTTCTAAAATGCATTGAGAGGAAACAATATAAACCCTTTTAAAAAAAACTATGAAAGCTAGATTGGAAAATGCTTTAGACTGTGTCTACACGAGACACCAACCGCACAGTTGTTATTGATCAGTTATTTAGTACTTGCATACTAAATGACTGTGCAGTAACTGGCATTACTGTGCAGTAGCATCCCAGAACAGCTTTTAGGTGATGCTGACTGTTCAGTAGTTCTGTACTACTGTGCGGTCACATCACATCACAGTTTGTGCCATAAGACACTACTGCACAGTAGTAATGAGCTACTTTGCAGTCAGCATCTTGTGTAGATGTGGCCTTAGAGTGCTTTATTTGCATTACAGTATAATCCAGGTCCCCTGGTGAACTTTTACCTGCATAATTTTCAGCTGAAACATTTTGCCCACTAAATGGACTACAGGAAATAATCCAAATAATTACATTTCAGATTATTGTCCATCTGAATATCTGCATGCTCACATTTCAAAGCCATTCTTCTCAAAGTGTAGACCTAATAAGTTTCAATGTTTCTTAGGGCATTTGTCCCTGAACAGGTTATGCCTGTGTTTGCCCCAAAACATAAATACCCTGGAATTGGTATCTACACACATCTTCCTTCTAATCGGTATTTAGTAAATGGCTGAATGCATTGTCACTTTTCTGTCTTTGATTCAATGATACAATTCCAGGATAGCTGCTCAGATCCACTTTGTGATATCCTGGGGTAAAGTGTTAGTAATTCTTCTCATAAACGTTTTTAAGATTTCTTAGGGCAACAGACAAGGATGTCTGAATGACTGCACTTCATCTCACCAAGTTACCCTGAGATCATAGGAGATCCTAGGCAGCCTCCCATATTAACTAGTAAGATCAAAGACGTGGCGGGTGAGGGAAAATGGCATCTGCTTGTAGACTTATTATCAAACATGAACATAAACATCAACTTTAAAATGTTACAGTTATTTAGAATGAAATTTGTAAAATGTAATCTGTTCATAGTTAATCTTGAAGTATTTATACAATTTTTTTTTCTCTATTTCAAGTTGTTTCAAGTTGTTAATGGCATTTTTTATATACAATAGATCATCAAACTGCTTCTGGAGTTCGTTCTCATGATGCCCATGGACTGACTGAATTGGACGGATGCATGACAAAAGACGAGCAGGCATATATTCCGTATAAATTAGCTAAATTATATATTACAAAGGTAAAAAAAATCTAAATAAGTCAGATACTCATTGGATTGAATGAATAATTTACAACAGCAAAAAAAAAAAAATCTAATAAATTTAACCCCTTTGTCGTGGGGCACTCCCGTGCCCCACTCCTAAGGAGGCTCAACTGGGAAGGGGAAAGGTGTAGCAGGGCACCAGGGTGCCTGCTACTGGCGGTGGTAGTATGGGCCGAGCTGCCAATCACCAGGGCAGCTCAGGTGCGGGTTGCTGGAGCAACCAGGGTGGTCACGTGACCAGAAGGGGGCAGGGCTGGGCCCTTATAAACAGCCAGGCTGGAGCCTGGCTGGCAGTTCCCTTCTGGCAACCTGAGGGGTAAGAGCTCTGTAGGAGGATTAAACTAAGCAGTGCAGCCTGAGCACATAGAGGGATGCATTATGGTGAAGGCAGAGAGAAGCCTGACCGGGAGGCTTTGGCCAGAGAGCCAGGAGGGCCTGGACTTTGTGACAGCCGGCAGGCTTATGGTTTTGTTACAGCCGGCAGGCTTATTGTTTTGGTATTGCCAGTAGGCCTATTGTTTTTGTTGCAGCCGGTAGGCTTATTGTTTGGTTCCAGCCAGTTGGCTTATGGTTCTGTTGTGTATATCATCTGGAGGACCGGGTGAGGCTGTAGGGGTGTGAGGAGGCCTCACAGGAGATCCCCAGCAGTCCGGGGGTTTCCTGGGTGCCCTGTTTGGGCACCAAGCAGCGCTGGGAAGGCGCGGCAGCTGGGCGCCAGTGTGGTACGGGGTGTGGGGTTGAGACCCCAGCCCAAGAGGACAGTACTTGGCCCAGTGAGGGCGTAGGACCCCGAGAAGGGTCGAGGGCCAGGCACGGCTGCGTGCCACCTGAGCCCCAGCGCCGGTGAAAGCCCAAGACAGGGCTGGCGCGGGAGCAGGCTCCGGGAGAGCCAAGGGCGCGAGAGGCGCGGGAGCAGGCTCCGGGAGAGCCAAGGGCGCGAGAGGCGTGTGGCATAAAGACCCCGAGAAGGGTCAAGGGGCCAGGCACGGCTGTGTGCCACCTGAGCCCCAGGTGCAGTTTTGGCATGGGACAGGCCCCGTGAGGGGCAAGAGCGCAGAAGCAGGCTCCGAGAGAGCCAAGGGTGCGAGAGCGCGGGAAGCGCGTGGCATAGGCCCAAGGGGAGCCAGCCTGCAAGAGTAAAGCCCAGGAGGGGCTAGTATAAGGTTAGAGACACAAGAACGTCCGGAATAGCTGCGAGGCTTGGGGCGTGCTAAAGGGGAGGTAGGAGCCCATAAGGCTGGGGTGCACCAAGTTACCCTGAGATCATAGGAGATCCTAGACAGCCTCCCATATTAACTAGTAAGATCAAAGACGTGGCGGGTGAGAATTAGAGGGTGCTGGATCTCCTAATTGGCACGGCAGAGGGGGCCTAGCGGGATCACGGCCGCCCGTAGGCCCCACCCCGTGACACCCTTCCTACTCACCGACCATGATAGAGAAAGTGTAGTTTGTCTATTGCTTATATTCAAACAAACACAACATTTTCTTAGGATTGATCTCAAATATTGCACTTATTTTTTCAATAGTTAGTATTTAAAATATAATATGGGGACTGTCTCTGTCCAGAAAGTCCAGTATCTTCTCTGTGACAGCGCAGGGTGTCAAAGGCCTGCAGCAAGACAACAGCCCTGGATTTCAGGAGGGCAGATTTCAATGAGGTAAGGAGACTAGTCGAGGAGGCACTGAGGTCCCAGAGGGGAGGGGAGTTGGGAATCTAAGAAGAGTGGTCATTCCTTAAGGAGACAATCCTCCAAGCCCAAACGGTGACAATCCTCATACAGATCAAAGGGGGCAAGAGTGCTCAAAAACCCCCATGGCTTACCAAAAGCATCCATGAATGTCTCAAAGCCAAAAAGGAGGCATACATCCAATGGAAGGGAGGGGTGTTATACCTCCTTGGCTTGAGATTGTAGGGGGGCTGTTAGGAAGGCTAAGGAAGAGATGGAACTGGGACTAGCAACCCAGATCAAAGATAACAAGAAGTCCTTTTTTAAATACATAGGTGGTAAAAAGAAGGTACCAAATAAAGTGGGGCCTCTGCAGGACATGCTTGGTAATCTGGTGGTAGCACCAGACAACAAATCTAATCTCTTTAACATATTCTTTCCTTCCATCTTTCTGAGCAGGGACTAGGACGTCCCCCCACCAAAATTCCAAACAGACCTAGGGGAGGTGCAGCCAGGCCTAGGGTCAGTGAGGACCTAGTCAGGGAAATTCTGGAGGGACTAGATGTGTTCAAATCAGCAGGTCCTGACAATCTCCACCCCAGAGTGCTTAGGGAATTGACAGAGGTCATTGCAGGATCCCTGTCACAGCTTTATGAGCACTTGTGGTGCTCTGGTGAGGTGCCAGAGGACTGGAAAAGGGTCAAGGTGGTCTCCATTTTCAAAAAAGGGAGGAAGGAGGACCCAGGAAACTATAAGCCTTTTAGTTTTACCTCAGTCCTTGGGCAGCTCCTTGAGAAAATTATCCAGGAGCAGATCTGCAAGGGGCCAGCAGGGGAGATTATGCTTATGGGCAATCAACATTGGTTCATTAGAGGCAGGTCCTGTCAGACCAACCTGGTTGCCTTCTATGACCAGGTCACAAAAGCCTTCATTGCAGGTGTCGTGGTGGATGTAGTCTTTTTGGACTTTAGGAAGGTTTTTGATACTGTCTCTCACTCCACCCTCATTAATAATTAGGTGACTGTGGTGTCGATGCCTACACAGTCAGATGGGTCACAAATTGGCTGGAGAGCCACACCCAGAGATTGGTGGTGGATGGGTCATTTTCGACCTGGAGGGATGTGGGCAGTGGGTTTCCCCAGGGCTCAGTCCTAGATCCCGCGTTGTTCAATATCTTCATCGGCGATTTGGACAAGGGGGTGAAAAGCATCTTGTTCAAGTTTGCAGATGACACTAAGATGTGGGGAGAAGTGAGCACGCTAGAAGAGAGGGACAGGCTACAACTAGGTCTGGACAGATTACAGTGGTGGGCAGATGAGAATAGGATGGGTTTCAATACGGACAAGTGCAAGGTGTTGCACCTGGGGAGGAAGAACCAGCAGCATTCCTACAGGCTGGGGAACTCCCTTCTCGTCAGCACAGAGACAGAAAAGGATCTTGGTATCACTATTGATTCCAAGATGAACATGGGCTGCCAATGTGGGGACACGTCAGGAAGGCTAACCATACCTTGCCATACATCCATAGATGCATCACGAGCAGGTCCAAGGAGGTGATCCTTCCCCTCTATGCAACATTTGTCAGGCTGCAGTTGGAGTACTGTGTCCAGTTATGGGTGCCTCACTTCAGGAGGGATGTAGATAGCATCGAGCGGGTCCAGAGGAGGGTCACTCTCATGATCAGGGGGCAGCAGGGCAGGCCCTATGAGGAGAGGCTATGGGACCTGAACCTGTTCAGCCTCCACAAGAGAAGGCTGAGAGGGGATCTGGTGCCCATCTACAAACTGGACAAGGGGGACCAGCAGGCCATGGGAGAGTCCCTGTTCCCTCGAGCACTACCAGGGGTAACAATGGCCATAAGTTGACTGAGAGTAGATTCAGGCTAGATATCAGGAGGCACTATTTCACAGTCAGGGCGGCTAGGACCTGGAATCAACTTCCAAGGGAAGTGGTGCTTGCCCCTTCCCTGGGGGTCTTCAAAAGGAGGCTAGACAGACACCTAGCTGGGATCATTTGACCCCAGTATCCCTTCCTGCCCATGGCAGGGTGTCAGACTTGATAATCTGCTTAGGTCCCTTCCAACCCTACCAACTATGAAACAGTAGTGAATACTAGATGATGAAGAAAGTGAAAGGCAGATGTGTAAAGAAAATTGCCACCCATGAATTCTAATCCCTAATAGAAAGAGGGAATTTGTAGTCTATAGATATTTAAAAAATTTCCATGCATTTACTCATAACTGAAATGTTTTTGTTAGCCATGTACAGGACTGCTCAGCTCTTATGTTTAAAAATGTCCAGTGGTAGTGAATATTTTCCTTTTATTAGTTTCAACATTCCATCTTTTTTTGGATAACTTTGTATGCCTCATGATGAATGGCAAAACTTTTAAAGATACAAAGCCAAAATACTAATCTAGGTTGGATTCTTCATACCCTCTGTGGTTTGGGGTTGTTGAATATATAATTTAGTTTAGTTTTGGACTCATCTCTAATTACACATCCAAACTACTGAAAACTAACTTTTCCGTGGCTAGAACAGTGAAATAGAGCAAGAAAACCCCTCTTTCTTTACTAAATATACTAGCTAATCAGAACAGGGGTCCTATGAATGAAAAACACCACGGGATGAACTTACAGCCATAGAATCATAGAAAATGAGGGTTGGAAGGGACCTCAAAACACCTTTTCTCTGGTCTAACAGTCCTTATCCTCAAGGGAAGCCTACCTATGTACACTGAGGGTTAATTAGACCTCCCATTGTTCAGAATTTGAACTAAATTCTGATTTCCATTGAGTTAATAAATGTAATAATAATATTCCAAGCTGTTGCTGTCCTGATGGTCCAGGCAATATGCAAGAAACAGGATTTCTTCAGTGATATTCCACAACTTCTCTAACTAAAGTGTTCCAGGATAGTAAAGCACTATCCAGAAAGGTTATGGAATCTCCAGCCTTGGAGGTTTTTCAGATCTGGCTAGATAAAGACTTGGCTGCTATGATCTATTTGGGGTTTTCATAGATTTAATAAATGTTAGGGGTAGAAGGGACCTCATGAGACAATTGGGTCCAGCCCCCTGCCCAGGACAGGAAGTCATCTGGGGTCAGTTCACCCCAGGAAGGTAAGCATCCAAATGTTTCTTGAATGTATCCAGAGTAGGTGCTTGCACCACTTCTGGGGGGAATCTATTTCAAACTCTGGAGACTCATATGGTAAAGAAGTTTTTCATTCTGTCCAGCCTAAAATGATCTTCCAGCAGTGTGTGACCGTTAGACCTTGTCGTCCTTTAGGTTGACTTTGTGAACATATGT